TGACATCCTCCCACAACTCATCTGGTCTTCGCTCATTAGTGTTCAAGGCCTCAAACCTGTTCCTGAGATGATTCTGAAATTCAGGTGGTATGAAATCAAGGTCATATTTTTATATATTTTACACATTTTTACATAGTCTTCTTATAATCCTACAAATATAACTTTTAAATTTCTAGCAAAAGGATATTCTTTTCAAGTTTATTACTACTTTTTTGTGCTACTAGTCCTCAGAAATGACATAGTTCTTCTGTTGACCTTCAAAATAAAACTGCTGCTGCAGCTTTTAAACACACATACACACACTCGCTCCCCCATACCCCTTCCTGGTGTATATGTATCTTCATGGCACATGTGGCCTTAATGACGTAATCTGTTGTTGAATTGGTCCCCACCTCATAGTAATTACAGACACAACAGAACAAAATGCTACCTGGCCCGGCACGACACGATTAGTTACAAATGGAATAGTTGTGATAAACAGGGTTTTCACTGGCTGATTTTAGAAAAGATCACTAGGCCTTTCTCCCCAGTTCATGGTAGCTTGGAAGCTTGGCTGAATCCTGTAACCTGCATTGTGTAAACACTCACTGACACTGACGTGTGTCGTGTGTTGGCTACACATGAGAAATCAGGACTCCTGCATGGCAGTTGTCTCCCTTAAGTGTTCTGTGTGGAAATACAGTAACATTTGTTTTCCCTTCTTCCTCCTGCAAGGCTCCAAATAAAACTGGCAACTTGTAAATATTTAGTGATACACCAGTATCAGTAATATGTTATTAAGTTATATTCCTTACTTCTTGTTGTTAGATGCCATCAAGTCAAGGATACTCATAGCAACCCTTTGAACAAAACATCTGAACCTTGTCCTATCCTGCACCATCCTCACACTTTCTGACACACCAGAGCCCATTCCAACAGTCATCGTGTCAATCCACCTGGTTGAGGGTCTTCCCCTCCTTTGCTGGCCCTCTACCCTTCCCAGCCTCATATCTTTCTCCAAAGAATAGCCCTTCCTAGCAACATGTCCAAAGAATTTAAGGTGGAGCCTCATCATTCTTGCCTCCAGAGAACCTTCCAGCTGCACCTTCTCCAAGACATATCTGTTTGTTTTCTTGGCCAATCATGGGATGAAGCGACTCTCTACACTGCTCTGTATGTGTGAGGTTACCAAACATGAGTTAGAACCTAGCTGTTGCCAACTAACAACAAAGGCCACATGCCACATATAACTGGGCAATATGTTCATTATCTGAGCTACGTACGTCATACCATGGGATCGCCTGGGTAGCACCAACAGTTAAGCATACAACTGTGAACTCACCCAGAGGCACCGCAGAGGACAGACTGGCAACCAGCTACTGAAGGGCCACAGCCTTGAAAGCACTATGAGCACAATCCTACTCTGCCCATGTGGGGCCACCATGGATCAGAATCAACCCCACAGTAACCACCCCCCCCCACACCACGCTGAGGAAATAAATATTCAAAGCAAGAAAATAAATATTCAAATATTCAAAGCAAGATGATTCTACTTACCATCACTGTCAGAGTCTTCAGACTGTGCATAACTGACCGGTTTCTTATACCTATAGTCAAAGCAGAAACTTTTAGTTTATAGAGTACCACTTCTCACCTCCCTTCCCTTAAAGCCACTAATTATCTTAAATAAATGACAATACCCTTGGATTTCCAGGGTACTGAATGTCTCAAGGACTGCCAAAAACACCCAAACACATTTGTCCTGGAGGAAATGCAGCCAGGTGCTCCTTAGGGGCACAGATGGTGAAACCTGGTCCACGTACTTGTACTGGGGAAAGGTGGAGAGTCAGAGAAAGAGAGGAGGACCTTCAACAAGATGAATGGATATAGTGACATGACAATGGGCTGGAGCACATTAGAGATTGTAAGAATGGCATAGGATAGGACACAGTTCAGATCGCTGTGCATACGGTTTCTCTGGGTGGGAGGCAATTCAGCACCTAAACACGTACAAAATACTTAAATATGCAATTCATAGTAAGGATTTCTCAAAAAATTCACTGCCATCAAGTTGAAACTCATTCACAATTGACCCTCCAGTGGGTTTCTGAGGCCCATCATTCAAACTGCCAGACATGCTGCCTCTGGGTTAGTAGAGCAACTCCTTAGGACTATGCCACCAGAGCTCCCTTCTGCACAGGCTGAAATAATTATCATTTACTTTCTGAAAAGAAATCCAGGTGGTACAATGCAAAATGCATCTGACTGCTAGCAGCCAACAGTTCAAACATGAAATTGAGATGCATTGCTAATTAGTGCTGAGTAGAATGCAACAGTTAGGAACAAAAAAAGGATCAATAGTTGGAAAATATGGTAATGATAGACATGACACCAGAGATCACATGACAGATATCTGCAAGACCAAAGACCTATTCACTGAAAACATCTTTTTTTTTTTTTAAATTTTGTGTGTGTGTGTGTGTGTGTGTGTATTGTCAAATCGGATCTGATTGGTACAGGAGGAGATTGCCTCTCCTTCTCAAAAATATCTTCCCCCCCCCAATAACATAAATGGCAACTATACACATGGATTTTGCTGAATAGAACTTACAGCAATCAAATCAATTATATCTGTGGAAGGAGATGGCCGAGATGTTCAGTATCATTAGTCAGAACAAGGCCAGCACTCAACTGTGGAATAGATCATCAGTTGCTCATATGGAAGTTCAAGTTGAAGCTGAAGAAAATTAAAACAAGCCATAAGAACTGAAGAATAATGATTACTATATCCCACCTGAATTTACAGACCATTTCAAGAATAGATTTGTTGCCCTAACATTAACAAACCAGACAAGTTGTAAGAGAACATCATGTGTGAAGAAAGAGGTCATTTTTTTAAAAAGGAGAGAAAGAAAAAACCAAAATAGCTGACAGAAAAGACTTTGAAATTTGCTCTAAATGTAGAGCAGCTAAAGTGAATGGATGATGTAGTAAAAGAGCTGAACTAAAGCATTCAAGGGGTGTTTCAAGAAGACCAAGCAAATTTGGAGTCATAAAACCAAAAAAAGGGGCATGCAAAGAATTTTTCAAGATGAAAGAAATGAAGAGGCAAAAAAAATTTCAAGCTTCAGGTTGCAATACTGAAAGATTGCATAGGCAAAATATCAAACAACCCAGCAATTACTAAAAGAATATGGAAGGAACATACAGAATCACTAATAAAAATAAATGATCAACATTCTGTCACCTCAACAGGTAGCCTATCTAGAGAACCAAGAACACTGAAGAAATTTAAGCTGCATCAAAGGCACTGGGTAAAAACAAGACTCCAGGAGTTGAAGGAATACCCACTGAGTCATTTAAACAATGGATTTAATGTTGGAAGTATCCATTTATCTATGTCAAGAAGTTTGGAAGACCACTACCTAGATATCCAATTGGAAGAGATCCACATTTGTACCTATATACTTCATTTGTACCTATATACTTAAAAAAAAAAAGTGATGCAACAAAATGTAGACATTATTAGTATAGCAGGTATATAAAATTTTGCTGGCAATCATTTTAAACTGGTTACAGCAGTACAGCAGCATGGAACTGCTCAACAAGGAAGGAGGATTCAGAGGAAGTCATGGAATAAGGGATATCATTGCTGATGTCAAATGAATCATAGGTGAAAGCAAAGAATACCAGAAAGATGTTTACCTGGATTTTACTGACTGTGCAAAGGCATGTGACTGTGTGAATCATAAAATTATGGACTGTTGTTGTTTTTGTTGTTAGGTTCCATTGAGTTAAGTATAAGTCATAGTGACGTTATGAATACCTCCACATTCCCAAGCATGATGTCCCTCTCCAAGGAAGAACCTCTCCTAGCAAAATGCCCAAAGTATTAAGACATAGCTTTACCATCTTTTCTTCTAAAGAGCATTCTTGCTGTACCTTCTCCATGACATATCTGTTCTTTTGGCAGTTGATGGGGTAGTTAGCATTTTTGTCCAACACAACTCAAAGGCATCAATTCTTCTTCTGTCATTTTTTCAGTGTCCATCTCTCAGAAGCATAGGAATTGATTGAAAACGCCATGGCCTGAATCTGGTGCACCTTAGTCATCAAACTGACATCATTGCTCCTCAATAATCTGGAGAGGTCTCTGACTACAGACTTTCCCAGTGCAATACCTCTCCTGATCTCCTGATTCTAGTACCTAGTGTATTGACTGTGGATCCAAGGATACTATTGCAAAAAAAGGATAATTTCAAAACACCTTCCTTTGCAACTCATATGCAAGTTCAAACAGAAGTTGAAGACAATTAAAACAAGTCCATAAGAACAAATACACAAGTTCATGTGGAGCTTTTATATAATTGAAGGGGTAATCATTCAAGCAAAAGAAGGAGACACTGTGTATAATAGATTGAGCTGTGTTCACCTCAAAATACAATATGTAACAATATTAATAGGCCTTCCTTGTTTCTGTTGATGGTAACCTATCACTCACAGCATTATATTTCAAGATAGATCTTGAAATACTCTTTTTGACAATGAATCTATACCATTCCTCTTCAATTTATGATTTTACATAGTAGATTATGTGAATGTCTAATTCAAAATGTCCAGTATTAGTCGATCTCAGCTCATGAATGCCTAGGATGTCAATCTTTATTCAAATATACTCAATAACCACAAAAGCCAAAGAGACAAAATTGAGGATTTTGACCAAGTTTTGTGGTGTGAAATAGCTTGAATATGCAATCAAGGTACATTGATAATAACTGATGACTGGAATACAAAAGATGGAAAGAAAGAAAGACTGGTAGGTAGAAACTGCAGACTTGGTGACAGAAGCAAGGCTAGAGATCGAATGATAGAATTTTGTACAAAGAATTATTTACTCGTGGCAAATACCTTTTTTAAAACAACAAAGAGTGACTATATAGTTGGACTTCATCTGATGGAGTACACAGGAATACTGATTAGATCTGTGGAAAGAGACTTTGGAGCAGCTCAATATTAGCAGTCAAAGCCAGGTCAGGGGCTGACTGTGGAACAGACCATCACTACTCATATATAAGTTCAAATTGAAGTTGGATACAATTCAAACAAGTCCCTAAGATCAAAAATTAAACCGTGAGTGTATCCCAATGCAGTTTAAAAACCATGTTAAGAACAGATTTGATGCGCTGCATACTAATGACCAAAGACTAGACAAGTTGTAGAATGATATCAAGGACGTGATCCATGAAGAAAGCATGAAGTCCTAACAAAGGCAGGGAAGAAAGAAAGAAAAGGCCAAAATGGACATCAGAAAAGACTCAGAAACTTGCACTGGAATGAGAAATCAAAAGAAGAGGAAGGAATAAGGGGGGAAGAGTACTGGACAAATTTCAAAGGGCAGTTCAAGAAGATAAAGCAAAGTATTATAATGAAATGTTCAAGGAGGCAGAGTTAGAAAACCAAAAGGGATAGGGAAGTGATAGGGAATGGCAAAGGACACACTGACAAAGAAGATTAATCAGAACTGGCTTTGACAAGCACTGTGGCATTTGGACAAGAACAAACTGGG